TGTGAACTAATTTTTCGTAAATGTCATTAAATTTAGGTTAATTTAATAAACTTTAGCAGCCGAGCATAAAGTCACTTAGAAGTGTGTGAAATATATCATGTGAGATGATAATGCTCTAATATTTATTTATAGACAAGAAGGTCCTTGATGTTTAAATACGTAATAGCTTGACGCGTACATAACTCCTGATTCAAGTACGTATAATAACAATTTGAGTAGGCGACGATTCTACTTTGATGAACGAATGCATAAGGACAATTATTTGTTAAGAACCCTCTTGGCTACACGTTCTTTGCTTTGACTATTCCACTAATTAAATTAAAACTAGTGTCGTCTAACAATACATATGCCTATTATTGAGGTTTAATTAAAAAATATTTTTACTTTCCCGTATACGTATGTATATACAGAGTAAAATACGTAGCATAGGGAAAGTTGCGTATTGCTGCAGAAACGGTTTCAATATTTCAACGGAAATACGCGATTTGGGGTCCCCTGAAACCGAATAAGTGTTGGTTTTTTTTTTCAAAACGTCCGTCCGTGCACACCACGAGCGTCTAAACCATACGTAGACTTTTTTCCAGATTGAAGAAACCCTGTCCATCTGGCTCGAGTTGAAGCTTCGAGATTTCGAAAAACATTTCTTAAAATTTGGAGGTACCTTTCATAAAGCCCCTGGGACATTTTCACAATTTTCTCAAAAACAGCTCTAACTTTTTTCTTTCATTTTTTTTCATTATATTAGAATAGAATAAAATACACTTATAATTGTGGCATAGAGTCGATTTTCACGGTTAACTCTGAATTTTCGAAAATTTTAAAAGTTTGAAATATCTTGTCTTCCTACAACTACAAAATTAAAGGTACAGATTTTTCTTTCAAATAAAATTTGTTGTCCATAGTGAGTTCTTTCATTAAAGTCATTTACACTTGTTTGAAATCTTTAGTAATGTTCGCGCAACATTGCAAACAATAAACAAATGAGCAACTTTAAAAAATGACAAAAACAAGATTTCCTCAAAAATGGTTCATAATTTTTTATTTAGATATATGTTAAGGATAGTGCTAAATGGACTCTAAAAGATGACATAAACGCCATATTGCTCCCTTTCTTGTGTTTTTTCCAAAAACTACAAACAAGTATTTTTTATTTGTCCCTCCCGTCGTTAATATTTATATTAGCGGCATACAGTGTTTCGAAAACTCAACTGTCTTCTGTCAAAACTAGCTCAAAATTCTGTATGTTTAGAAACGCTCAAACGGCATTTTTCAATAATGGCTCCATTTTTTTTTTAATTTTTGAACGGATAGTACTAACTACACTTTTTTATATGACGTAAACTTCATTTCGGGGTATCTTTTGTTTTTTTTTAAATTACACAAATGTACTTTTTTTAAAGATCTCTCACGCAGTTAGTATGCACATTTCCAGCAATTTGTAAACACTATTTTATTTGTGAGTTAATGTGTTTTACATGACTTCTAGTAAAGTTTTTCGAATCTAAAAAAACTGTGAAAAAGAGCATCAAATTTCGAATTTACATTAGCGCCATTTTTTTTAAATCGACCCACAATTTTGCAAAGAAATTTCCCATTTAGGACTGAATTTTATGGTTATTTAATATTCTTAATATAATATTTCCGTTCTACTATTAAGAACACGAAAAATTAAGATTTTTTTTAAAAACTAGTGGTGCTACAACAGCGCATACATTCTCGCGTTATTGCAAAGAGGTACGTAATATTGAAATTTTGCATTTTCTGCGCTACTATCACCTCTGCCATTATTTCAAAACGTCCAATTCAACTAAGAAGTGAGCAACGCACTGCTGACATCGCAGCGTTATCAAAACTATGAACATTCGCTTGGCTAATAATGTCAATACAGAGATGGCCCCTTGTTTTTCTTCTGGACGTAAATTTAGCTTCACTATGCGCGCATTGTGTTGAACTCTCCCTTTGCTTGTAATGATAGGAGTAGAGACAAGGACGAGTTACTATTTTGTTAGCAATACAGATAAATCATACTTGCCATTCGTTTACCGATGCAAATAAGTTTTCTATCATTCGGAAACGAAAATGTCTATTTTTTTCAAATATTGCTAATCTCGGAATTTTTTAAAATTTATTTTATTTATTTGTTTTAAACTATTATTCATCTTTCAACTATTTATAGTTAAAACGACGGGAAAGGATTCTGGAACTCAAGAAAACTTGCGCAGATAATTTTCTTCCCCATACGTGACATATAGTTTTTACTGTTTTTTGACTAAATAAATCTAAGTTATCAGTAATTGGAATATATGCAATTGACATAAAAATAATTACGAACATTCGTGAGATGCCTGTCGATGCAAGATAACATTTCTGATAGCGTTTTGTTTCATCACCGACGTCTATCATCCACACATCAAATACGATAAATACTATTACATATCAACAGAGAGAGCTCCGTGGTTTCTCGGAAGAGAGATGCTGATATAAACAAAACAAGTGTTACACAAGTACTTCTCAATCGATGCGGCATTGTTGCAAAATTTCTTTTAAGCTTTGCGAGTTGCTTAAAAAGTAATACATTAATACATTGGGAATACACATTGAGTAAAAAGTAAAAAAGCGACAAAGGAAAAATAGACCTAATATTGGTATTTTCAATACGTAAATATAATCAAAATTAATTTCATTATTTTTCATACCATTCATTAAATTTTTCTCGTAGTCTCTAGCTAATATAAAACCTGTATATATTTCATTAATTTCAAGCAGAAATTACTCAAAAACTACTCGTTTTGTTTTCAAAAAATTGTACATGACAATCTCTTATCTTCAACTCTGCAGTTTTGAAACTTTTTTTCTGAGCAATACCTAAAAATGAAACTAGCGCCATATTTTTTACCATTCTTTATTACTTAAGTAAAGAAAATTTAAAGAAAAAATTTGGAGTGTTTTTAAGATCATTTTTTGTTGTATATTTCAATCGCAAAAGATGTAAATACTCATTATTCCAAAATTTGTTCATCACCTTTTTATAGAGCTATTTGCACAATTTGCACTTTGTCTGGGGCAAAAATTTCTATATCTAATTGTAAAGTTATAATTTTTATTTTATTTACCATTTTTCGAAAAATCGGGAAGTCACCAAAAATGAAATCTGCATCATTATTTTAAAAGTCCTCTGCACAATTCAACAAAATGTAATCAAAACGTTTGGAGCCATTTTTTAAATTATGAAAATGTTTATGAAAGGTTTCATGTAAAGTACCCCCATAATTAAAATATCGGGTTCTAATTCCAGGTTTCGCGACATCGGCTAGAACGATTGGGAAATATAAATTGGGGAGAAAATCGACTAAACGGTTTATGAGCTAGCGTTGTGCACGCACTGACAGACACACAGAAGTTTGGCCGTCAATCAATTTTTGGGTATCAAGAATCTACAAACATGGATTCTGGCTATACATGTTAGAAAGATTTTTTTTCTATATTTAGCAACTGGATTTATCCACTTTTCCTACCCGGGGCCTGGCAATAAGTTTTTGTGTCGAAATTTCGCCGTTTTCCGGCGCACGATTACAATACTTTCTCTTCTTACGTTAGTAAGTGCGAGAATATAAAAATGTACTTTCAACAGCGATAGATGGCAGCGAAGAAACAGTTTTGATTTTCATTGAAAAATTCAAATTTATTGCTTGGTACAAGAAGGGGCAATGTCTATTTTCTAAGTTTCACAGAAAGGGTGATTTTCTCATACCATCGAAATGACAAAACAATCGTGGGCTAATGTAAATCAATGTGAAATCAGGAGATAGGACCTACTTTTGACTTTGACTACAACTATTACAACGCCTATTTTTATTTGCTAATTTTATATGGATACATAGAAATGTAATAATATTCTGTGAAACATTGATACGGCGTGAGTAAGAATATACAAATAGAATGCGTCTATATGTTTGTTAATTAGGAAATTTTAAAATTTTAAAATGTACTTCATGTTCTAAACGTCATCTTTATCAGATTTATCTTTAGCGCATTTGCGGAAATGAAAAGTGTTTTATTCAATATGGCTACGGAGCCCCAATCAAAATGTACAGGGAGTCTACGGCCCTCTTGACTCTCACTGTGTGAAAATCGTCCATTATCGAAATTCCTTCATTAACAAAATCAAATGTTCCAACATCAAAAACTTCTACTCCCTATTAGCTCCAAGTTAGCTTTTTAATTTAATGACAATAATGAAATAATCAAGCCACGAAAAAACATGAAATAAATACAATATATTTCGTGCTTTTATTATTTATATTCATTAAATTAATGTGAATTACTACGAGATCTCTGCTGTCACTTCTGAATTCAATATATTTTTATTTAGTTAATTCTCGTTCGATATGGGTCTCTCTGGAGTTTTAATGGTTTCGATTTACAAGTTTATTTGGTCTCACACTAGATGAATGTGGGACTAAAACCTTTCCCAATTTATGTAATTACATATTTTTTTCCTCGAATGTGGGAAGAGTATGTGAATTTTGATATAAATGTTGATGAAGAGAAAAGTTCTTAATTGCCAACATTAAATAAATTTTCTAATATTACATTAAACCTTTTTAGATTACTTTACCATCCTCACTTGATCCCCGCGAGTAAAACTAATAAAAAAAGTCGCCAATTGTCTTAGAGGAACGAACAGAAATTGCGCTAGAAAGCCACGAAGCATCTTGGCTTTACCAGGGATTTGCGCTCACTGACCTGTCACGCCCGATAGGCATCGACTTCACATCGACTTTCAAGAGTTCGAGAGGTCACGCAGCATCAGGTCACGAGGTCACGTCACTCAACAGGAGCAGCTGAGAGAGGAAAGAGTTCTCAAATTCGCCGCATGGCGCGCCTCAATACCAGCGTCAGTCCTGGCATCTACCGGCGTCGCGAAGAAACACTTGGAGGCGGGTAAATTTAGACAGGCGCCTAGCCGCGCGCGTGTTCGGGGTGGAGTGAATAGTTCGCCGACTTATGTCGGCAGAGCTACCATCGTGATGTTTTGAGATATTGAGTGTCGACAAAAGTGTTTGACCTGCAGCAACATGGTGCGTCTATCCACACCCGCGCTACTGATAGGGGCGCTTTTGCTGCTGACGGCAACATCCGACGCTACTTTTAAACTAGGTACGTCGCCCTACGTTTTGCGCAGATCTGAGGAAAGGATGCGCAAAGAAGATGATATCGAGAATTCTCCAGAAATTCCTAACTGAACAGTGTAGAATGATCTAAGACACTTTTTAACACGTTAATGTAATGTAATTGAGTACCCTCATCCTTCGTCGTTGATACATTCAGTAGAAAATTGCAGATTTCTCTCAACAGACATTATTAACCATTCACCCAAAAATTTTATTATTTATATTCCCGTATTAACGCATGTCGAAAAATATTACAATGATTTCAACACTCTTAAATTACGCAAGATTATATCAACAGTCGTTGCTGTGAAAAAAAAATCCACAGATAAGTTGATCATAACAATTGCCCGACTTCAGCTTTGACATGCGGCTGTTATGCATTATTAACGCCATTATCAGCGAAATGTAAATTTGAAACTTATATTAACAAAGTTAATTAAATAGCTTCGTTCTGCAATGTATTATTCCTTTCCCCCAGTCATTCTTATGCAATGATTATTGATTTAACACAAGCAAAAAACTGAAGCTTGCAATTGAACATGTATGCCAATGGCTTCTTTACTTGGCAAAAGTTTGACACAAAAATGTTAGTTTGGCATAATTATAGCAATGTATTAGAATTGAGGGAGTATATATTTTTCATTCTTGGCAGATATGCATGAGACGAACAAAATTTAAATGTCTATTAATTTGTATCCTGTCAAAGTGCATGTCTATTAGTATCTCCAATATCAGCCAATTGTGTCGATCTTTTACCCATCAAAATCACTTTTTTCGCGCGTTATTATTTTCGCCTACGTATCATATTAATATATTGTTCCAAGTTTGTTTATCATGTTATTTACAAAACACAATTGCACCAAATGAGAAATTATATTAAATGAATCTTTAGTTTTAATATAAGGTATAAATAGACTTAGGGGGAGGAGAATCTTTCTTTGATTCAAATATGAATTGCCTAATATAACCTTCATCGAATAATCATACCAACGATCAGTCTCTGTACTCTCAATATACTTTCGTAATAATTTAAATTATTAATAAAATAATAATAATAATAATAATAATAATAATAATAATAATAACCAAAAACATTTATCGCATCCGTCGAGGGCACCCACAGTTAGGAAATAAACCAAAAGTTATGTATGATTGTATTCACAGCCCTGAAAAACATGTTGAACAGGTAGACAATAAATTTTTTAAAAAAATGAATTGCCATTGGGTCCAGCCGTAACTCATACTAATCTCTGTTATTAGTACCTCATCATCATTTTTCTTTTCACCCAAGGGTTCTCGATGTGTCACTCCCCTCTCTGTTTAATTTAGTTTGTGCATTATGGTTACGGAAGAACATTTTCTAAAAAACGTTTCTAAAAACCTTTTCGCATGTACACAGGCACAATATTAACGATTATTTTAAAAGGTATTTTTCTTCATTTCTTTTTTTTCATTTCGGAACACATCGTTCATTTATACCACATATTCACAACAAAATTGTAAAACGTTTATGAGATGCTGTAATAAACAAATGCCAATAATGTTTTAATATAACAGAATATCAATAGAAAATGAAGTTTCCGGGAGTTTGTCTAAAATTGAATTTCTCAAATTAATTTATTGTCAAACAAGCCTTTAAGGAAAAATATAATAAATGGAGTAATAATTCCAACGTCGTTTTAAATATAAAGCATTTGCAAAGAAAAGCAATAATTGTTCGCCGAAATTTGATTGTTTCTCCTTATTTATTCACGTTTGAACGTTGTTTTATCTTAATAGGGTATGTAATTGCAAAATTTTCAAAATAACTTCGAAATATTTATGTATACCTTACTAACTTAAACAATTTAAACGTTTGTAATGCAGTTAGGTAAACATAAGGATAAATTTGGCACTCACTGCATTCTGTTCATAAATATAAATTATACAGTCAAGCCTGTGGCAACAGAACCCACTTTTGCAAGACCTTTAGAGAAACGTTGTTTCTTAGAATTCCTACTCATTAGTCGTCCAATACTTCAGAAATTTTGACAGAGATTAAGCCTAGTTTCAGATATTTAGTTCACCGAAAGAAGCAAATGTAGAAGATGATTTTATGAAGAAGATTTTTTTATGAACAATTTTTTTAGCAATTGCTTTGCTCAAAGTATTTTTAAGAATTTGACATACAAATAACTACTACATATAATTAGTATGTTTACTGCTCAATAGATTAAATTTACTTAATTTTACTAACTAAAGTTTACATATGACATAAGTATTCAGTGTAAATACGATTTTGGGTTTCTTGCAAGCACAGTTTTGGCACAGTTTTTCCTGAATCATTAAAGGGGATGTTCCACAACTACAGAAAAAAATTCCAATAGAGTACCCAATATCAGAGCGACCGTTAAAAATGACACAATACTCACACAAAAAATTATTGTATTCATAATTGATATAAGAGGTACAGAATTTCATGAAGAGGCCACTCTTATGAAAGTGATAATTTACAAAAAACATTCCCGCAACATTGTTTCAGCGCCCAACCCACAAGTTCCTCCACTTCCATGTTATTATTCCGTTTATTTACCATATCCGGATAATTGGCCCGTATCTCTCTCGTCTCGGTTTTGGAAAATCTAGTGGAAGATTCTCTCATCCAAGGCACTTGGCAAGGACTTCTTACGGAAGTGCGGTCTTTGAGACTGCCAACCCTCTCCTGTGATCTTTCTGACCATCCCCGAAAAGCGCAGTTCCAGGGCTGAAGCAGGTGGCCTTGGCGGGTTCCTGCGGAAGCGCCGGGAGGAGGGAGGAGCGAGGACGCGCATATGAGCGAGGAACGCCGGTATGTCGGCGAGCGACGGCCCAAGAGCTGGTGCGGCGCGCGACGTCCGCCTGCTGCTATTCCTGGCCAGGGCACGCTGCCAGCTGCTCTGCCCGCTCGCCTCCATCGCTAGAGCACGCGGCCTCGCTCTCGTCCCCAACGCCCCCCCCCCCCGACAACCGTCACCACACCGTCATCGACACTGCCGCCGCGACAACCACCGTCATATTAAACGTCTTCGAATCAACCACCACCACACCACCCGCTACGAGTGTCGGTGACTACGCCACTACTGCCACCTCTGCCTTGGTGTCTCTCCCTGCGCTTTTATTGAATCTTCTTTCATCACACCAGACGCCTCAATTGTTTCTCTCTCTATTGCCACTAAAGCGGGCAACGCCATCAGTGTCACTGCTAAAGACGCAGAGTTACATCGCGTTTCAACAATCGTCACCATCACCACACATTATCCATACCCACAAAACCATCGACCATTATTGTGTTCGTCACCAATGAGTCATCGGAGCCTTCATCAACTTTTTTCACTGGCACCACCACTCCCATATTCGCCTCCGCCATCACCATCACGATTTCCACCTTCACCATCACCGCGCCACCACCATCACGTCACCACCACCACCGCGCCACCGCCATCAACACCACCATCACCGACATCACTCCATCATCAATATTGGTTGCGTAGGCTTCCGCGGCCGGAGTTTGTGTTGTCTGTGCTATCCGGGACGAGCCGCGTCTCTGACATGGTGGCTTACGTTTTCGGCCAGCGTATTGTGGCCTCCTTCAGAGCTTCAGCAGTACGCTCTGAAGAAGGCCCATCAATATCACCACAATCTTCGCCACATCTCATATGTCTTTATAGTTGGCACTGGAAGTACCTTTAGTGCGTACACCAATTACTATTGCCATTGCCATCATCATTACTCATATCAATGTAGAGGCCACCACACTAATGCACACAGATCGCTACTCCTCTCCCGTCCTTACCACCTTTTCTATGTGTATCCATGAGAACACCAATGTCATCTTTCAATTGTCTTATGACAAACTTCATTGCGATTCTGGAGCTGTCCTTTGAGATTTATTTTTAATTTTTCTTCATTTTCTAGACGGAATTTTATTTCATTGTTTATGCTTGTAATTATCTAATGCTATTCCTATTCTGTTCAACATTCGACCAGAATTATATATGAAATTTCACCCAAAACACTAACTGATATAAATTAAAAATTTCGTTATGTAATGCTTACACACTTCCACTATCCCGTAACGAAGAAACAATTGGAAGGAATTGTCACTGAAAAACATGCCTTAAAAGGAATATACTGCAACCATTTAGAACGAATTCTCATTGCAAATAAAAGTAGTTATTTCTAATTTCAAAAATAATATATTAAAATGGAAATTGATCAAAATTTAATAAAAACGTGAATAGAAAAGAAAAATTATTAAATGACTTGCTTCACATAGAATTCAGCAGCTGTGCCAATTTTGCGCTTGTTTTTAAAGGAAGAGCGGAAGAACGCGAGTCTGCAAATTCAGAAACTTTAAAACAGAAAATAATACAACTTCATTGTCTTCAGATTAATTATATATAAAATTAATACGAAGTTTCAAATTTATTTTTCAAGTTCATATATAGTTCCATCACTTCCAATTACTATCTCGTGAGTAGACGTCTTTTAATAATAAGTTTAATATAATGCTTTTGTTGTGCTGTGTTATCCTTTTGATGTCGTCAAAATTAATAATATTCTTCAAATCTGGGCTTCTCCAAAAATTAATATAAAGTAATATCCTTCCGTGTATAGCACCTTTCCCCCTTCGCACAACAAAAGAAGCAGTGAAACGATACGTTTTCAATGATACGTAAATTATTTCTGAAGCTATAAAAGATAAAGAAAATTATATTGTGTGTTGTGAAAATCTCAAATTACTGTGACGTTGACTACAAACCATTGATTAAAATATTCCAATATTGTTTTGAAAATGTAGTTAAAGATAATTTATTTCAAAGTTATTATCAACGAAATGCATCACGGACGAACAAATTATAAAATAGTTCTAGCCACTACACACGTTAGAAAGATAGAGAAATAGAAAATTTGTGAGGGAAAATAATATTTACATAAGATAAAAAGTTTGCACGAGATCTTTCAAGACACTCCCTGAAGTTCTCAGTTAATATTTTCGGTATTGTTAATACAACGACCGACTGAGTTCAGCTCACAGTCAGAACTGACGTTGTCTTTGCAGCGATGCTGACCTTGCTGCGATTTGAGTAACGACGGTGGAAGATTTTCCACTCTAGCTATGTAGCTACATCAAATTATGTAGTCTTCTGGAGGAGAATTATAACGATCGTCGGCTCTGTTCGGTAGTTCTCCGTTTCTCCGATCGAGACCAGGCGAAGGCCGGAGCAGTACACTAACAAACGGGTCACGGACTGGGCGCAAGCTTTCCATCCCCTACCTTGCATCCCCTTATGCACACTTACACTACTACGCATGTCAGGAAACCAATAGAGTGCCTTGACCTTGTCTCGGCCGGGGCGCTGCCCTGCTGGGGAGATCACTGGAGGGGGAAATCTCCCGCAAGGTGGCGCATCGATCGGTGCTGGATCTTGCCTTGCAGCAGCGGAGGAATACCGCCATCTCCCGATATAATATTAACTATATTAACAGGTCTAAATGCCGTAGCATTTGACGTGCCTGGAAAAATTAATCAAATAATAATCTGAATGAAAAAAAAGGGAAGAAATTTGCGGTGACGCTTCGTGACGCCCTAATTCCGTAATTAATACAGGAACAATTACAATTTCAATGTAGTCCCGTCGAATAAGGATTTGATAAAGTGAAATTCTCCACCAAGTTAAATTTTTGTTTACATTCATTTTGACATTACAAACAAGAATGAACAAAATCCTTACCAAATCAGAATGCAAAACCAATATTACTTGTGCGTTTCTATATATCGAAATATCACTGAATTTTGTTTTCAATTATTTATAGTTGCATCGACTGCAGGGTCATTAGCGTCATTAGTTACATTTTACTGTTACATATTACATTTGTATTTTACAATATAATTACTTATATAGAGATAGTTTTATTATAATGTAATATACAGTTTACTTCTTGATATATTAAACTTGATAAAAGATTTACTACCATTTCTTAAATAGACTTTAGCATACCATTTAGTTTTAAAAAGTTCATAACATCGTACACACTTTTAATGTCGTCCAAACAGTTCTTGATGTTCTCAGGCAATCCAGTTCTTTCACATTGGTAATCATTACATTCTGTTAATATGTGGAAAATAGAGATTGCAGTTGCACATTTAGGGCATCTGTTCACTGATGTTTTTGACATGAGATTGAGTGTGTCAAGTTGGAGTGACCTATTCTTAGTCTGGTGAATATACATGCAATCTTCCTGTTCTTGATACATGGTTGATGCTCTCAGACATTGTTATGGATCAAGTGTGTTTTTGACCTTGAGTTTTCCCAGATATTGTTCAATTTTTGCCAGATGCATTGATTTATAGCCCTTTTGTTCGTCTACAGTAATCGGCTCTTTTGTACAATTGGTTCCTTGAGAAAGCGCTTTTCTTGCCGCTGAGTCTGCTTTTTCATTTCCTAATATCCCTTGGTAGGCCGGGACCCATGTCAAGACTTATTTTGGTACTGCGTTCCATCACATGTAGTTTTCTTTTATTAATTGTATTCTTGAATTTTTGTTCCCATGGTTCTTTAATGCATCTAAAGTTGATTTGAAAATCAATAAAAGTTATGGCTCTGTTTAGTTCCAAAGTGATGATTAGATCTACGGCTTTATCTGTAGCGACGGCTTCACAGGAAAATATTAAAAACGAATATGGGAATTTGAAGAGAAGTTCTTGGTCTTCAAAGATGATGGTGCAACATTTTGTTCCATCTATCACTGATCTCCCTGCATATATGTGGGTTAGCTTATGTAATTATGCGATAATTCTCTGAATAAGCTTTTGTACACAATGTTAGGAGTGTTGTTTTCGTCATACGTTTTACTCAGAATGTGGTCATCAATTATAAATTTGAGTTCCTCCCATGGTCGAACTGGGTGGATTTGTCGTGGCAAGTCCATTCTCTCCAAGAGACATTCTCTCTCAGTGACAAATCGTTATTGATAGTACTTATACTGTATAGTAAAGCTTTTGGTAGGTTATTGAAGTGCTCTTGAAGATAATTTGATATTGATATTTGCTCAAGGTGCATAGGATTATTTCTAAGACAGATGGTTGATGAAGCATTTTTAAGAGTTAGGAGTTCTCTTCTTAACAATAATGGTCATTCGTAACCTTCTGCTGGAATTCTCAGTATTGGGCTTCTGCGGAAGGCTCCTATTGCTGATCGTATTAGTGTTGTTTGTATACAATCTGTTAAACTCAAGATGGAGTTTATGACAGAACCAAAAGCATAGACTGACATAGTCAATTTTCGCTCAAATAAATTATCTGATTGTGTTCATTAGGATGTCTTGGTTAGCTCCCTAAATTTTCGAGCTTAAATCTTTCATGGTGTTGATACGTTGCTTGCACTGAATGACTAGTTTTCTTATGTATGGTTTCCATGATAATTTGGTATAAAAATAAGACCCAGGATTTTCATTTCTTTACACTGTTTTAGTTCTTTGCTTCCTAGGTCGAGTTTTGGTGCACAGATTGCTGTAGACGTTTTTGCCAACATCATGTACATTGATTTGGTTAACGACAATTTGAATCCTAATGTATTACAGAAGCTTACAACTTTGTTTCTTGGAGAACTTCAATCATTGACATTGTTCTTCAAATACCTAAAAGTGTGATATCATCTGCAAAACCTCGTATTTAAATTGGTTTGAATAAGGTTGAAATCATATGGTTATAATAAATAGGGAAACACTTATGAGGATCCGTATGGAACTCCGTTTTGAATCGCTTTGTGTTCTGAAAGATGGTCTTGAACTCGCACTTGAATATATCTGTTACTTAAAAAATTATATATAATTGAATGCATTTTTACGATGCGGTGCTTCCAAATTATATCATAAGCTTATTCGATATCTAGTGTGTATTTGTTGAATACCTTTTCGATATCTATTGTATTCAATTCAATAAGTATTCAAATCCTGTGAATGGTAACTTTCTAAGCCGTTGTGTAGGTATGTTGTCTGTCCCGGGACTGGGATTTTTATTCATTTTTAGACCTGATTGTATTTCTGTCATATTAGAGAGTGAGTTGAAAGAAGACGATGTAACCTTTGTTAGATCAACCTCTTGTTTTAGGGGTTTGATGGCTTTTCAGGTTGATTTCCTTGAGACATGATACTGCTGGGTTATAGTTATTTCCAACAAAATTTAAATATTCAAATCATTTGTATGTTTTATTGAATTATATTGAATATATTGTTTGAATTGGTTTTTATTTTTTATGTGAAAAAAAATGGAAAGTAAGATAGCATAATTGACCATTTACTAATATTGTTTGCACTGATTCACCTGTAATATCAGCATCTCTATCTTCTGTTTGTAGATTTGTATACTTTGAAGACTTATAAAATGAAAATACAATTTTGCTTGTGTTAACTTATGTAACGAAACGAAGGTGAAAAAAATCAGATGGACAGAGAGGCAGACGGACTGAGAGATGAACTGATAGACGGATAAAAAAGTCAGACGGCCAGACACACAGACGGAGAGGCACACAGACGGAGAGGCACACTCACGGACAAACATCGACGGACAGACACACAGACGGACAGACATTCGGACGGACAGACGGACAGACACACAGACGGACAGACACACAGACGGACAGACACACAGACGGACAGACACAAAAACTAACAAACACAAAGACTGACAGACACAACGATTAACAGACACAACGATTGGCAGACACAACGACTGACAGACACAACGACTGACAGACACACATGCGCACATACTGACAGACACAGACTGATAAACACATACAGGAGAAAACACACTCGGACAGACACATACACGCACAAACACATACGAGTACTCTGCCAGACACACAGACAGCCATTTACACGGACAGATATTTGCTCAACCACTCCCAACACCGGAGCACCGACCCCAGACGGGACAAGCTCCAAACTGCGGCCTCGTCTCCCTGTATTTGTAATAGTGTAATAGGGATGTGCATGTGTGGTAGCTTGTTGCCTATGGGTGTAAAAAGGTGCAAGGAAACATCGTGCGTGGTCCGTGGCCACTTTGTTACGGTACTGCTCCGGAATTCGCCTGGTGTTGATCGTAGAAACCACAGAAAACTACAAATGAGTTCAGCCGGCCGCTAGAAGTTTGTCTTCAGGCAGTGGATGAACTCGACCTAGCTGTTTAGCAATCCTGCAACTGTCAGGTCCCGAACCCTAGAACCTCACGGTCGAAGGAACTGCAATGACAGCATATGACGCCCTGGGTCACCTAAGCCGGTTTCCCTTGAAAAACCACCTCTCCCAGCCGGTTTGAAGACGATCCAACGGCGATGGTACCGCCACGTGTGGTAGTCCCCTTACTACTGTGGCCGAGTGAAAAATAGTTAGATACACTAGTTATTTCTATTATAATTTGTATTATTAATGATGTGATAATTTTGTGTATGTTCTCTTGTAGTGCTTTTCTACGAAAAGAACGATGGGCTGCACCAAGATATAGTATTCAACTACGCAGTATCCATGTTCAACAACTTACATGTCTACGAGTTTCAAGCACATCTTGAAGATGTTACTGGAATCGGCAGTTTCCAACTAAGTCAAAAAGGTATGTCAATCAACGAAATAGAATATTATTATTCATATCTCCTAACAGTGCGAAAACTGATAACTAACACTTAACTGTTTCTAAACATTAACTGGAAACTATAAGGTTCTATACCTGTGTTTTATGTCGTTTTTGTATATAGAATACACTAATAGTTATCTTTAGTTTGGAGACTTAACAATTATAATTATTCCAAATAAATTTGTTTGAGTTAAGAGTCCATTGCATTTATTTCCTTTTTTGTTCATGAATAGGCCGACTTGGACCACGCGTGCATGCAGCCTACATTTACATTATCTCGGTTGAGGTGCATGAAACTTTATCTGGGGATCAACATTTAGGGTTGTTAGCCCTGAGGGTATGAAAGATGAAATGACGAGGGGTGAAAGGATGGCACACACATACATACAAATGCACCCATGCTCGAGACGGGACAAGAACCTGCGGTCGTCTAGTCTGAGACCGCTAAGGTATTACTACCTTAGCAATCTCGGCCACCTGATCGTCATTTCCATTTATTATATTCTGAAATTTATTTCCTGATGATCGGTAGATATTTTCATTAAGAAAACTAAATTCCCTCATTCCACTTCTAATACTTTTATTGATAGAACTAGCGTCCTTTCCCATTGTAACAAATGAATGTGCAGAAAAAATAACATTTTTTAAATGGAATTTTGAATGAAATAATATTTCAAGCCAAACTGTATTGTATTCTTACAAAATTCCCTGTTGGTTGCTACAAAACAATTATACACAGGCTTTGGTTTCCTGGAGATAAGTTGCATATTTTATTCCTTAGATTATGTAGAAAACAAGACAATATTAAAATAATATTTTTTAACACAAATATGTTGAGAGTTGAACCGCTGCAATCTGCAAAATAGCGATTACCTCCTGAAATCCGATCATTTGTACAAATATCACGAAACCTCAGTCTTAAAAACCTTATCACGTAGTTTCATTAAAAGTACAGCAGCATTTTTTTCATCGATAACGTTAAACAGTAAATGAAATGTTCATTTTGAATTCTTTAAAAACCACATGATTTGAAGAATAATTATATCTCTAGTCGCTCTCAAACACATCACTTTGGTACATTCTTTTATAATGAAGCCCTGGAATACGTCAATGGTGCATTTAAGATTAAATGACTATAATATATTCCGCCCAATCCATTGCGTTTCTGGAATTACAGTTCAAAACGCCGAAATATTAATGTTTGCCTTGTCGTGACGAAAAAAATTTGTGGTTGCTATGGTACACCACAACATGCCGACTACGTAGAAACCTCTCCAAAGTGAACAACCAGGAGTAGACGCGATTTTCCACACTTCATTACACAAGAGAGAACCGCAACGCGCATGCAATGGCCTCGCCCGATCAGCCGCAATGTCACAAGCGTTCGATTCACATTAACATAGAGCTTTAATACCGTCCCGCTTCACAGAGTTCTCTATGAATATATAATGTACCTCGTTGTTAACGGGGGTAAAAGGATCGTTAAATGGACGTTTCAGAAAGGACTGAAATATACATTAAACTACGCTTTGTTTCATGTCAAATGTAAATTCGTATTATTAAAATGCCTCCGAAAATCGTATTAATCTGATAATGAACAGCGAAATACGGTGTAATTAAATTTCGTGTATAATTTAGTGCAAACATAAACATGATCAGGATATTTCATATGAGGGTCGCAACTTTTAAAATTATGTGAAAATATTACAAAAAGGATGTTCATAATTAGACTGACAAGAATAATAATCAAAATTAATTTTTAATAATGACGCATTTGCTAATGTGAAATAAGAAGGCTTTATTTTTTGTATGTTTACATTTGCAACTAACCATGAGACCCGAAGATAATGTAAAATGGGGGGTACAGCTCAATGTCTCATTTAAGAATGTCAAAAAGAGTGAATTCCCCACGATCAAAGAATCCGTTATAAGAAAAGGAAAATCATATACTTTTAATTCGACGTCAGGTGAACAATGTGGTTCTCACGACTTAAAATAAATTTTAAAAAACGTGATTCTCAAGTAAGGTGCAAATGAATTTATCTGGAGGCAGTTTTGATACAAATTTCAAAATATCTATCCAACATTATTCATTTTTTAGTTTTTCCTTCATTCTAGGGCACATTTTCTCACATAAAACTGTACGCTCGTTTATAGAAATAGAGCACTACATTTTTAAGACTCTTCCCTCCAACGTAGAAAGAAATGATGAATACCTGACTTGCTAAGAAAAAAGAATGTGTTTCATTATATTATTTGCTTAATACTGTGCATTTTCTTATGTAGTATTTATGAACTTGTATATCAATTTAATGTTCCTGCTGATACTTTCAAAAGAAATATTGTAAATACGTGTGAAAAATGTACCACAACATTCTTAAGCTTATGTAACACTGGAAATCTACTTAATGTTAGCTTTCTAATCTGCTTAGAAAGTAAGATTACAAATTGTGTAAACATAATGTTCCATTTTTCATCTTTACTACTATTCCAGTACTATTTCTTTATCCACGATGGATAATTCGGACTCAAACAATGCAACAAAATAAACGAACGTCAAAGAATGTTACTTGTTACATTGCTTGCCAAACTTGTCATGAGTGCACATTCAAGGAAAATTCCAAGTCAAACATGTACGACAATGCTCGTAGGGGTAAACATAAATTACGTCTTAAAATACAAAATGAGCTTGTTCAATCTGACTTGCGGAGGCAGTAATGTCCCAAGAAATGGTCGCGAGATTAGTATGTCCAATCTTGAGCGTGAGGGGTGTGCTTCTCATGTATCACAATCTGCTTTTCAAATTTCTCAATTCATCTCTACGGATTAAAACAGACATTTTATTTATGACCGATGATCAGCAGATACTGGAAACAGTTTTGTCTGGAACAACCTGTCCCGAAGAGCCTATAACAGTTCAAAAACATAATTGCACAGCGGTAACGAACACAGAGCTCGACGAAAGAAAGTTAATACAATAACGAATATAAATATGAATCACAATTTAACAGAGTTTATCGAGTTTATCAAGAGGGGATAATTGAAATACTGGTGATATCAGTATTACCAGATCGAGCGCCAGTATATGTACCGTCGCCGAGCAAGTTAAACGTGATTACACAAAAATGGCAGACTTTTTCAGTGTTATTTGAGAACCAACACTTTTCCTAACATTGGAGATCAAACGATCTTTTTAGTCGGTATCCAAAAGTACAACAGGTTTTCTCTCCACCTGTTTTATCCCGTCCGTCTCTAAAAACAATAGACTAGCTCCCTTTCTATTGTTAATATTTCCATCGACAAACAAATGAAAGTAACGTGTGCATTGCGCGTGCGCAGCGTGCGCGCTGGCGGCGCAGGGCGCCGTGGCCTTCTTCGGGCCGCAGCAGCCGGCGCTGGCGGCCACCGTGGCGTCCGTGGCGAAGAGCTTGGAGATCCCGCACTTGGTGACGACGCGCCAGGCCCCGCTGCCGCCCGGCATGCACACCGTCAACCTCTACCCCGACGCTGACATGCTCGCCATCGTGAGTACTCCTCCTCTAGCGGATGCAGGCCAGCGCTCAGACACTGATTATTTCGAGCTTCCGGTCAACTGCTGGGGTCATTCGTCCGGTAATGCATGTTTTTATCATTTTATATCATGTGAGGCAACTAGCAGGATGGTGATATCAGCTGCTAACTTACACGTCGGTTTGCGGGGTTTTCCTTACCGAAGTATCACCCACCAGCGGAGCAGCCGGGAGAAGCTCTAAGCTCCCGACTGGGCACTCGATATATGTAGTTGTGTAGAACATGAACGAGTAAGTGTATGTGTGTAAGTAAGGGTGGAGGAATAGGCCAAATAAGAGGGAGGAAGGTTCACATGCGGCCCGCGTCGTGTGTTAGAGCACTGCTCCGGCATTCGCCTGGCATTGATCAGAGAAACCACTGAAAACAATCGATCAGAGCAGCCGGCCGCTAGAATTCTCCTCCAGATACCGGTTGAACAGTACCTACCTATGTAGGTAGAGTGGAAAAAACCTGCCATCGTTGGGACTCGAACCCGACAACATCCCGGAGAGAGGCACTGCAGAGATATTATTTAAGTTTCTGAGCCACCCTAAGGCGTTCAGCCGACCCGCACTATTAGAGCTCGTTCACACGCAGCTATTCGGTAGCGTATGCCAATTCGGCTATCAATGATTTTGTTTAAATAGCGATATTTTCACACGCAGGGCAGTGGTGCTGCTAGTAGCGAATTCCCTCTTCGAGTGGCAAAGACGCGCTTCCGCACCACCCCAACAGGACACAGAAATGGCAGCCTTTACGTTAGGCAACTCGGAAGCGCCACTCGAAAGTTAATATTTTTAATGTCTTGCGGCTGCCGGCGCCAGCAGCTGTGACGCAAGTACACCCTTTCCCACAATCAGTGGCGCTTGAATGAAGGAGCCCGACGCTTATTTATCGGAGATGCTGCCCAGTGGCCGTCCTTAGTAGATGCAGTGACAGTTTCTCAAGGAAAGGAATAAAGACAAATCGTTCTCACATATTCCCGTCTTCTTGTTGCAATTTTCAAATTCTTTGTTTCATTTTTCAGAGTTGATAGCTACGAGGGCATTTATTTTGGTCGATTACACAAGCGCACACAAAAATAAAAGGTGTCGACCCAAAGACTTGACACATGTTTCTCTATGACACGCTGAATCCAAATCCGAAACCATAATTGCGCCACCAACCTCCAGTATTTTGATTTTAGGTGGTTGGTGGCAGGTCTAAAGACTTGACACATGTTTCTCTACCTATGTTGACGAGCTGAATCCGAACCTGAAGTCAAAATTGCGTCATCACTCACGTGTTTTGCGATAGTATGGAGAAAGTTATATAATGCTGCAGAAAATCGATTTCGAAATTAAACGGAAATTCACGTTTTGGTGTCACCTGTTACAGAAAATACGGTTTTCTAAACGTCCGTCTGTCCGTCTGTGACCACCACTACCGCCTAAACCATGCATAGGATTTTGAAAATTGAAGAAACTCCTGTCCATCTGGCTCGAGCCAAAGTTACGTGATTATAAAAAACGTTCTTTAAAACTTGGGGTACTTTACAATAAGCCCCTGCAACATTTTAAAAATTTTCTCAAAACGGCTCCTATTTTTTTCTTAAAATTTATTATAATAATAGAGTAAAATATACTTATAAAAGTGGCATTGTTCTAATTTTCAAGATTACCTCAGAATTTTAGAAAATGTCAAACGTTTGCATTTATTCCGGCGCCTTCCTGCAATTATATATAATTGAAGTTGGTAATTTTCCTTCAAATGAAACTTGTTGTCCATTATTATGGCGGCGGCGATGGTGTAACGGTTAGCGTACTGGACTGTTGTACCCAAGTTGGCGGGTTCAAACCCGATCGAAGCCGTGGGCGAAAAAATCCTTCGTACGCCTTCCTTCGGAGGGGAAGTAAAGCCGGCTGTCCCATGTTCGTAGATTTACTTGCATGTAAAAGATCCTCAAGCCTAAATGACGCCTCTGAGCTAAATTCAAGTCGCCTGTTTCTCGCCCAAGATACCTCCTTTCTCCGGTAGTTGATGAAAGGAGCGTAGCGAAATTTGCGTGGTCAGACGGAAGAGCAGGCCTAATGGCCTGAGTCTCGCCACGTAAAATAAGGCATAATTCAATTATTAGTTATTTTATTCAGGTAATATACATTTTTTAACTTTTTAATCATTTTTGCGCAATATTCCCTGAAAGTTGTGGAATTTTAAAAAGTAACAAACACAAGATTTCCTCAAAAAAGGCTCCAAATTTTTTCTTTAAACTTGTGGTGGGGATAATGCTTAATGGTCTCTATTAGTTGACTTGAACGTCATTTTGCTCTATTCTTTGGTTTTTTCAAAAATTATTAAAATGTAATTTTCATACTAGTCTCTCAAGTCCATACAATTTGTATTAGGAGCGTGCATTTTATTACATTATTGTATTTACAAATACATGCGCTTCATAAATTACGTCTCAAAAACTCAAAAAAAATGTGTAAACGAGCTCAAATTTCCACATTTTCAGAAACGCTTAAACGCCACTTCTTTCAAAAACGCCTCCAAGTTTTTGTTTAACCTTTTCGTACGTAAAGTGCTAATTGTACTGTTTAAAATGGTTTAAAAGTAATTTTGCGGTATTCTTATATTTCTTGTTTTTTTTAAATACACAAATGCATTTTTTAAAATCTCTCTCGCCGTTAATACGCACAGTTTCAGCGATTTGTATACATTATTGCGTTTGTGAGTGGAAGTGTTTCAAATGACATCCAATGAATTGTTTTCGAAAACTCAAAAGAGCTTCAAATTTCACATTTACACTTGATGTTAAACGATTTGTTGTTAAGAATGTTTTAGATTTTTCAAAGAAAATTTCCATATACGACGAATCATTACTCTTCATTAACATTCTAACAGTAATGTTTCCCAACTTTCATTACGAAACCAAAAATATGAGAAAATTTCAAAAAATGTATTTTGGGCGGCGATAGATGGCAGTTGGCTCGAGGATGGAGCAAGACAGTGACGCTAGCCCAGACCGAAAAATTAGAAAATTAACTAGTACAGAGAGTGTTTGCCATTGTGTAGGACTACAAGTCTTTTTTCCTTTTTTCAAATTACTCGTTAAGTTTGTTATGTAAGGCAAACAAATTTGAGACACATCTTTGAGCTGTAACCAATTTTACTTTTATCCCACGAATGAGATGAAGTACGTTGTCTTAAGTGAGTTTCTACAAACATTACAATGTTTTCAAATTGTTTACCATTCATCAGAAGTATGGTTCAATGTTGTTTTAATAATCTTGATGAAGTCTTGCCTCGAATAAAAGTATTGTCCGGTCAATAAACCCGTAGGTAATCCCAAATTTACGAGACATCAGATGTTTAGAATTAAAATTAAGTCTGACACCTGTATATGTAGGATTCTATTCTGAAACCAATTAGTAAATAGTGATAATCAGGAAACGGATTTCTATGTAAATACATATTTACTAAATAATCTATTATCGATACAAGTTTGCATAATCAATATGTTTCATACTGTGTACAGTTGAAAAATTCTACTTTTATTTTCCATATTTTTGCATATTTTGGGTTCTGGTATATATTTGAATAAAAGTCCACATATTTTCCACATTTCTTATAAAATTAGTCCATAAAACATACTAAGCTTAACAGAGAAATTTCATTGAATATTAAAAATGCATCTCAACAATAAGAGCTTAAATATTTTCCGTAATTCCTTAAACGTTGGAGCTTTTTTAAATTAGGGAGAATTGACAAAGGAAAATCAACCTGTTACATACTGTTAAAGTTTTAATTTTTGTTAAGAATAGATCCACTTTCTGGCCTTGAGACCCTGTCTGAGGTGTCTGATTCCTCCGCGGTCTGAAGGCGGGGTGCGAGGAGTCGATGAGATGTGTGAATTGTTTCACAGATGACCTTGAAACCTTAATGGTTTATGGGAAATGCCCCTCGTTTCAATATCCATGTATTACACCCTAATCAGGGAGCTAGAGTCAGCATATAATAATCATCAACGCGCGTCTATGTGGCAGGCATTCCCATCGTACGATGCCTATATTCTTCCTGGAAGTATAAGCAGTAAGTTGACCAAGTTTTATCGCAATCATATGAACGGTATGGCAGCGCATTACGTAAGAACCAACCAACCAACCAACCAACAAACAAACAAACAAACAAACAAACATTCCCTTTTATCTGCTTCTGAGGTGTTGAGACAATGGATGTATTTGAAAATGGCCGAAAGATTGTGAAGACTAGTAGAGAAAATGTATTCCCGAGTATTAACGTACTGGATTGTAATATTGAGAGATTTAAAAAAAACATTCTAAGTGAGGAGCCATGCTTGCCAAACGTGGATTGAGAGCGTCAAGCGATACCTCAATTGGGGCACGTGATTTGCCTAAACCATGGTTTACAGTGATTTCCACATTTGTTTCTAACAAGTTTGTAGCTACGAGTACTACAGTATTATTAAATTTTCTTGATCCAAGAATTTTGCGTTACAAAATATCTCAACTTTGTTAATTTATATCTGTCATTATCACACATTAATTTTCAAAATATACTGAATGCAGCATCTATCCGTTTCATTGATGCGTATAATTCATCAACTAGGAAGTGGTGGCAGGCCGAGCCAGCTTTCCCAATTGGGAAGTGTCGATGAGCGAGTTCCGACAATAAACTAATGGCGCTAAAAAAGCACGTAATTTCTGGCCTTTAGTAATGCTTATTTAATACTATATGTATCACAATTGCTCTTCGACTTAACACATCTCAGTCGTCATTTCTTGTAAAACTCATTTGAAATCGTAGAACATTTGATGCAAAAATTAAATATTTTCAATCAATAGATTTTTTATTCAAAACTTTAAATGAAAATGTGTTTCTGACATTCAATATATTGTATAAAGTACGCAGTGTATTCACGAACATATCCAATGAGTTCTTTAGTCTTACAATATTCTGTGTAAGCAGAATGCAAGAAAGTAAAATAATTTAAAGTTAATAGCGGATAGCGGAGAGCAAAAATTGCAAATAGATCGAAATATGTATAATAGTAATTATTAAACACTGTGATATTTTCCAAAAACTTAAAAGCATTAGTTCATATTAACGTGTAGGAAAGGCAGTCGTCTTTATCGCCTTCTGTTATCAGTGCGTCGTTACAACAACGGGTTACAACAAGCAAGAACAACCGTTAATTCATATGGAATTCACATTTTGACAATTAGCGTTGTTGATACCGCTAGCAAGAACATGAAAATGGATAGAAAATATAATAATTAAATATAATATTTTTATATTTATCCAAAAAACTCTCTTTTACATGCATTACTCTTCATTCCCCATCTTATTAAGTAAAGCGAAACAACCTTTTTTTACAGCTAACACAATTAAGAGAGGCTTAACTTAAAATGAAATTATATAAATATAATAATAATAATAATAATAATAAAATTTGAAAGAATATACAAATTCTAACTTTCGTAACATCCCACTTTGTCGCCAAATTACACAAAAATCCTCATATTTTAAAAAAAGTCAACATGATCTTCTTTGAAGATCTATTTTTGATAAACACCTTACATTAAGAAAAAAAATTGCATCTTCATAAATGTTGTTATAGGAAGATGTCACAAAAATTTTGAATTTTTTCAAGTTTTGCAAAATCCGGGTTTTTCACCAATATGAGACCTGCTCCATTTTTTAAATCGCCCTTCAGACTATCCAATATTTTTTATCAAAAATGATGAAGTCGTTCTCGGGAAAAAAATTGAAAAAAATTAAAAATTGCCTATATTTCACACAAAATTACGAAAAAATATAATTTTTTAATTGTACGTGACCTTATTTTAAAATCTATCTCTAAAGAACATATTATAATAAGAAAAATCTTCCATATTTTAGTTGCCCGAAACCGCCGAAAATATTTCGAATTATTGCAAGTTTCAAAAAATATGAGTTTTCAATGATCATGAGATTCATCATTCTCTAAAACGTCTTTTACACTATTCAACAACAAAATTAAATCAAAAACGATGGACCTATTTTTTTGTAAATTTTGATAATGTCCCAGGGGCTTCATGTAAAATACCTCTTACAATTAAAATATCGGTTTAAAATCGAAGGGGCCAAGGACATCGATCATATCGATTGGAAAATATCAATTTTGGAGAAAATCGGAAAATTAGCCTCTAGCGTTGTTCGAAGACAGACGGACAGACGTTTTGCCGCCAATCTATTTTGCAGCATCAAGGACCCACAAAACATGAATTCTGGCTACCCTACATGTTAGAGGAATTTTTCCTAAATTTATGATCTGAATTTGTCCACATTTTCATTTCCAGGGCTCTCTATTAGAGTTTTCTCTGTCGAAAAATCGCCGATTTTTCGCGCAGTATCATATAGCTTTCCTTCTACCGCGGTAGCGAGAAAGTAAAATGTGTGATATTTACTTTACTATCTATACAAGTTTCTTTATTTATAATGTAAAACGGCGTAGGGATGTCAGAGAGCAATGCTCCCGAATTTAAGCTCGTTTTAGTTGAGGGGTTTGAAAATTCTGTGTGTAAATTCAGACTATGTCTTTTATTTTATTTTTCATTTATCTCAGTATGTCCCCCAAAGACGTTGGTTAATCGATTAGTTAGTTTCAAAATGTGGAATCGATTTGTATATTTTATTATTTCAAGGCAACTCTTCATCCGTAATTGCAGGCCCTGGCGGACGTGGTACGTGCGCTGGAGTGGCGCTCCTACACGGTGCTGTACGAGGACGATGAGGCGCTATCGAGACTGCAGGGCGTTCTGCAGGCGCGAGATCCTTCACAGCTGCCCATCATGCTCCGCAAAATGGACCCTGAGGGCGACGACAGGTCATAATGCCACAAAGATGGCAAAGAATGTTTAAAATAAGCGAAACTTACGTTTACTACACGAAAGACGTACTAGACTCCAGGAGTAAACAATAATAAACGCAATCTACTGTAGACGTACGTGCTCAACAACAAAGACTTACTCAACAACACAGAGTTACTCAACAGCAAAGACTTAGTAGATAACATAGTAGATAGTAGACATAAGATAGCATAAGATAGCATAAGATAGACATAAGATAACATAGTAGTCTTAATAGATAACATTCGACAACGACGACACTGAATTGTAATGGCATACTCTACAATAAAGCCGTACCAATTCTCTAATGAAAACAGTACGGCAGCGACTGGAACAATACCAAAATTGTAATAAAAACACTGTGACCATTAAGGTCACAGTTTTCAGAGGATGGGTAGAATGACAGTGAAACATTTTCCCTCAAATAAGTAAGTGCCTCACTATCGGCGTCTATGCTGCAGGCCCACGCTGAAGAAAATGAAGCACAACGCCGAGATGCGCGTGGTGCTGGACTGCTCGCCGCAGCGCACAGTAGAGCTTCTGCGGCAGACGCGCGAACTGGGGATGATGGACGTGTACCACAGCTTCTTCCTCACCAACCTGGTAAGTCTGCACGAATTTTAATGTGCCAAACTTTTCACTTGTAAAATCGCTAGTGAGGAATTGCGCAGTATTAAATTCTCCAGTGATGCAAGATATTCTGCACCACTTATAGATGATGTTCTTTTCGTGTGACGAATTAATACTTCGTGGAAGAATTTAATACATTTATATAAAGCTAGTGACCGGCAGTGGCAAATGCTGCCGAAAAACATCTAAAATGATTTCCAAATAGTAGCACGCATAATGGATAACAAATAAAATTCTCTAGCATAACACTGCAATAAATTAAATATTTTAACAAAAACAAACTGGACTAATTCTACAATAACATGCAACAGTTCTTTACATACAATTAATATACAAAAGTTGCTTTTCCATAACGCAACATGTGAATAACAAACATTTAATGGCAGGTGACCTCTTCCTCAGAGCCTTGCTGTCGCATGACGTCAATTGTGTAATAAGCAGTGATGCACTGACAATTTAAATTCAGTTGGTAAGCGCATTATAAGATTAGGCGAAATACACAATCAAATGTTTTCATTTTCAAACAAATCCAAATATATTTAATTGTTTTTTGATGTTTTCCGAGTTCCTAGGTATATAACGAAACCATAGACACTTTTCACATGGCTAGATACTGCATAATTTTCTTTCAATTTCTGTGCTCATTAGAAATTAGTAATATAGATAGTATGTTTGTAATGTGATAAGATAGAGTTTGTCGTAGTTGTTGCTAAGATAGTCGAAAACTGGATGGAAGTAAATATTTAAGTGATGCATGAAATATTTTAAATGGTAATGTTAGTACATTCTTACATTTTATCATCCATATATTTCTATTGCCACAAATAAAACTACAACACGATTCCATTTGATTGTGCGTTAGTAATGTGTCATGAAAAATCATAAAAAATTTCATTGAAACAAATCAATTTGGATCTGGGAGTGAAGGTGTTAACTATTGAAGAGGTCATAACAAAAACATGTTATATCATTCTTTATTAGTTTTGAAAATATAGCCCTCAACTTTTGATACTGCTAGCGGATCAAAGTAAATAACTAGTTTTAAATTCAGATTTGGACCAGTTCTGACCAAACCAGAGTACTGAAACTCCATGAGTTGACAATTTTATAACTGAAAATTGCTGGTATCTGTTAAATCAATTTTGATAATTCCTGAGATAGCACATTCTTTCCACGACCTCTTCTATTTCTCTTAATTCTATTTTAAATTCTGACCATTTATTTATCATAAAAATGAGATATCAACTGTATCCAAGAAACGCAAATTTCAAGTATCCAAAGCATTACGTTTACCTGTGCTTGACGTTGCGCGTTTTTGTAGGATGCCCATACGATGGACCTGACAGAATTTCGGCAGACCGGAGCGAACATCACCGCGGTGCGCCTGCTCGACCCCAACGAGAACACCATCAGGGACGCCATCACTATGTGGGACCAGTCAGAGCTGATGATGCGCGGCCGGCGCTTCCCTCTGACCGCCCGTTCTGTTCGGGTAAGATTGTGTCCTTCCCCTACGTCTTTTAAGGGTTGAACTAAACCTTAGTTAATAGATGGCTTAAACATGTCAAAACGTAAGTTTACCACAATTGAAAAAACGTGTTCTATCCGAAATAAATTAAAATCAAGAAAATAGGAACTATTAACTTAAGTGAAGTATAAGAAATAAGCCAATGTTTTAGAGAACTTATCGTATGTTCCTTACAAAAGTCGGGGAACAAGAGTACTTAACCAAAAACTTCAATCAGAACGTATTGCAGATCATGTAATAAATCTTACGTACACAACGCAATTTTCATGATGGTTTCTCTTATTTATACAGTGCAGTGATTTTATTTACTGTCAGTTTAACACCAGATAAAATGTAATTAGAAATTATTATTAATAGTTTTTTAGCAAGGTGTTTAAATCTAACGATCGTTCGACCAGACTACCAGCGAAGATTTTCTTATGCGATTAACTCTTCACTTACTGATTAGATTTGTTTTCAGGCTTCCCATCCTTGTTGTCCACGATGCACCAGTTCGAAAGATCAAACTATTCTGATTCTTATCTGATTAGTTCTGTGAGTTGATAACTGCTTAAATGACTCCCGTGCCGGGTCACAGACGGAGACGGCGTTGATGTACGATGCCGCGCTCTTCTACCACCACTCGCTGGTGAAGCTGAACGCCAGCAACTCGGAGCAGCTGCTGTCGGCGGAGCCGGCGGAGTGCCGCCTCCCCTTGCGGCGCTACAGCCCCGGCCTGTTGCTGTCCAGTTACATGATGGGGGTAAGTGACCCTTCACCTTGTTTGTGTAATTCCCTTACCGGGCGATTCGTGGAATGGAGTATGTTCTTGGCTGTCCGGGAGACGCCGCGTCCAAAGCACAGGTGCTGACGTTTCGGCCGCCATTCTGCGGCCTTGCTCAGGGTGTGTAATGCATTACGCCCTGAGGAAGGTCGCATAATGGCGGCCGAAACGATGGCACCTATGCTTTGGACGCAGCGTCTCCCTGACAACTAAGTACATACTGACTCCGGCGGAAACCTACGCTCTCTACGCGGTATAGAGGTACACCTCTCGCCCTTCGCGCTGGAATCGGAGTTCAAACCTCGAGCAAACTACGAGGGATTTTGGTTGACAAAAAGGTTCGCGACAGGTTTCAATGGGGTTCTCCCTTTGAAAGCGCCCTACTATTATAATTCAGCAAATAACAATGGTTTAGCTCTAAAAGGTGCAAATGTTTACTACCAGACATCCCCACCAATGACCCTGCGCGCACGGACTCCACAACGATGACTTTTTAATTTTCGTTTCAAAGTTCTATTGCGTGAATCTTACGAAGTTTATGTTTCTCTTTAATTAAATTTAGTAGTGGCTTTGGAAGCGGACTGTAATGTTTGGTGAAATTCCTGACTTTATTAGAAGAACTTTTGATACCATTTTTTATTACGTTTTCGGGGAAGCTAATGTAATTTTCTATTTCTAATGGTGTTTTTAGACTCTTCGAATACTGACATTTATTAGTTAGAATGTTCCTATACGTGCCCTAAATTACTTTTTCCACATTTACTTTTTTCGTTTTGATGTGACTGACGTTCTTCTCTGAATGAACTTATTACTAGATTGTGGTCAGAATCTAATGTTTTTTTCTTATTTTGGTAAATCGGTAGGTTTAAATTTTGCATAATAATTATATCCAGAATGTCAGGTAGTATATTTGGGAGGTATGTGGGCTCTGATGGATATAATATATTAAGATTTTTTGCAGTGCGCATTTCTGAAAAAGTTTGGCATTATATGAAGTAGTATTATATTTCCAAATTCTTCGAATTTTCTCGCACTTCCCTCAAAATTGTACGCTACTCTCTTTCGCGAATCTTCTTACGTTGTCCTTGTTGCGGTTTAGATACAATTCTGTCTACTTTCTCAAATCTCTTAATGATATCGTGCACCGTGCTCTTGCCCATGAGTCAAAGATTTGTGATTGCAGGAGAGTCCCTTTGCGTGGTGGATTACGCGGACTGACTGTTGACTGATTGTTGGGGGGCGACACCATCCCTGTTAACATCAGCATCGCTAGAGCTTGCTGACTGAAGGTCGGTCGGTGTCCTTTCCGTTTCTCCATCCGGCTTCAAAAGGGGCGATTGTGATATTGTGAGAAATTGCCCCTGAGGATGAATATCTTTCATCTGTAGTTGTGAGAATGGGAGCACACCTCCATTCGTTACTGTGAACCGATCAGGCGTGTCACCATTTAGAACGTGGGCTGCTAACACCATTGACACCCAAAATCGGGGTGTTGCGTACATACAGCTTTCGCTACACCACTAGTCTTTGACTGAGCAATAAAATATTTCGTTACGCGCAACAATCCATCCCGTTCAACTAAAAACAAGACCGGTAGAAAAATGAAGATACGCCCGTTTGTACTTGCACTAAAAACTTTGAGCGGAGCACCGAAGCACAGCGATAAGCGGAGCGACACGATGCTTACTCCACGACGTCTAGAGCCAGAAGGACGGAATATCAATTTTAGAGAAAATCGTCAGAACGTTTAGGCGCTATCAATGACCGCTAACAAACAGTTTTGCCGTCAATCGATTTTTCAGAATTAAGGACCCACAAAACATGGATTCTGACTACACTAAGTATGAAAAAAAGAGAAGTAATTTTCTTTATAGGCCCAAGATTAATATACTTTTTCGTTAATAGGGCTATTTGTTTCGCTTCGAGAACTTCTTTTTCGTTTAGTGCTGGTAATAAGATTTTTCTTATGACAAATCGCCGATTTTTGGTGTGCGGTTACGTTCTATTCTTGTAAGGTTAGAAATCAAAAAGCAGCGACAGAATGTTTACTGTGGATGGAGAGCATTTTACAAGACCCTACTACTCATAATACTAATAGGTTTCTCTTCAAAGTCTTTTTAATCTGCCTATCTATGAACGATGAATACCAATGAGAACATAACGGTGATTTCTTTGACACATCGATTGATTCTTTTGGATGAAAAGTGCTCAATATAACGAATAATTGTATCATAGGATGACTTCACCAGGACACATCTTGACAGGGAAATTCTACCTATGTGATCGCTAAGTCCCGGCGCTGCTCTAAGCCTTGCGATGGGCCACGGCGCGGAGCCACAAACTTCCGAGTATATCCGTATTACGTCGGATTTCATACACTTTTGTATTGCTAAATATTCATAAAATACCAACATATGTAGTATTGGTGAATTTGTATCCCTTAAAAACACAAGTTATCTCAATATCTTTAAAAGAAGCTATCAAAACGATAATATTTACAACTGATGTGTTCCTGTATCCTTCATCGTTTGGTGAAAAGTTTATCTTAATATCTTGAACCGTTTAGAGAATACTTGAGATGGACTTCTTTATCGTTGAGTAAGCATGTGTAAGTCGACCGGAGAGCCGAGATCGCTAAAGCAGTAGTATCGTGGCGATCTCGGGTCGAAGGACCGCGGGTTCGAATCCCGCCTCGAACATGGATGTATTTGTGATCGGCCCTTCATCCTTCATCATTGAATTGAAGACTTATTTTACGTAGCGAGACTCGGGCCACCAGGCCTGCTCTTTCGTCTGACTACACAAATTTCGCTACGCTCCATTCACCAACTAGCAGAGGTATTTCTAGGGCGATTTGAATTTAGCTCAGAGGCGTCATTTAGGCTTGAGGATCTTTTAAAGCATGCAAGTAAATCTACTAACATGGGACAGCCGGCTTTACTTCCCCTCCGAAGGAAGGCATACGAAGGATGTTTTCGCCATCAAATTCCACGGCGTCGATCGGGTTTGAACACGCCAACTTGGATATAACAGTCCGATACGCAAACCGTTACACCACGCCGCGCGCTGACGTCTCATGTTGGTCATCATCATCCTATTAATTCATGAAAGAAGGATTAATAATTCCCTGTGTGAGCAGAATGCCCTTGCCCTTAATAGAATGTGCAGTTTGTTAAAAAATCCCTACGTGTTGCTGCTGTTGCAGACTGAGAAGCTGGGCACCACTGGCACTCTGCGAGTGGACAGCCACGGCCGCCGCAAGGACTTCTCGCTGCAGGTGGTCGAGCTGTCCAAGGAGGGCTTCAACGAGACGGGCAAGTGGGAGTTGGGCGGCTACTACACCACCCGCTCCTCGCAGGACCTCGACTCGCAGATCACCGAGTCGCTGCAGAGCAAGCTCATCATCGTCTCCTCGCGCATTGTGAGTGCTCGGCTGCGCACGCGACCCAAGGTTTTCGTAAAGGGCGGCGGCCTTGGCCGATTCGGACAGGCTGCGACTGCTCCGCGGCAACTTCATCGTTGACAGGGATGGCCTAGGTTTCCAATCCAGAGTCGAAGGAGATTTTTGGCACTATTCCGCTTCCGCTGGATCGGTTTCATCCGCTATAGCAGTCAGCTGTTCTCACTGGAAGTTTTTTGTTGTTTCTTACAATGTGAATGCCGGCACAGCACGCTAACAGATGAGCCACGGAAATCTCTCCTTCTTTATCCCTGGCCTCTCACCGCCCTTATACACACTTGACTTACCAAGCTCTACTACACACGTCCCGGAGTCTAGTTGAGAACAGAGAGCTAGTTCTTCTGGGCCGGAGCTGGGGGAGATTCCTAGAGAGAGAAAACCCCGCAATATGACTTATGGCGCCGAAACGTTTCAGGATAGGTAAAATGCCACCTCTGTGGATATAACTTGCACTAGACTTACAGAACGAATGGCTATAGAGGTTACGCGCCCAGGCGCAATAAATACCTACAAATTCACCCTCCCCATCGAACTCAGAAAATAGTTGAATTTCATTTTATAAATACAAAGAAGCATGTTGTAATTTATTATGTATTAAAGTGTGCAAGTAATTAGATACTAGGAAATTGTGACACTTAAGTAAGTATACAAGGAGTAAAATGTACTGCAGTGCACAATTTATTGAACATCAATATTAAATAAATTATGTTTCTTACGTTTAGTAGCATCTTTGTTGATATCCATAAAATATTTATATAACTTGTATTGTCACATAAGTGAATATGTGTATTGAATTGAATATATGTGATAGTAATTAACTCAGACACATTACTTAGATATGACATCATTAAGATGGAATCTTAGGGCCCAACTATAAAACCAACATTCTCCATTTGTCCATTTATTATCAAAATTTAGTTTTCGGATAGTCCACGATACTGAGGATCTATCATTAGCAGGAAAAATACTCCTATCCCCGTGCAATCCCAACCCCTAGTCATAAAGCCGTCCGTTAGAGAGCGCGTGCGCCACGTGTGTAGGAATGGCAAAAACGCATCAACATAACGATCGATGTATACCGCCTGCTGAGATAGATGAGTCACAGTTTATGATTGGCCAGAAGGGAGAAGTGGTAAGAAAAATCCGATAGAAAAAGCGATATACTTTTTTAGATACATCGCCCTGATTGGGGCATTTTGTACGTATATTCAAATACTATTAGTTTAATTTCACGAGTGGAATAGTTGTTAAAAATGGTCACTTTGTACCAGTTTCAAAATGATTATCAACACTATTTGCTCTCCATGCAAGATGGCGGCCAGCGCCTGGTCTGGCTTTTCAAATTAAGTGCCCGTGCCGTGGTCACGTGGTTCGTAACGCTGCGCAAAACGAGCGAAAGCCGGTGCGCCGGAGTAACTGTCTTTCTCGTCCGCGGGGGCGCAGGGCGGCGCCTTCCTGCGCTTCAAGGAGCCCCGCGACCCGACGGCGCGCGGCAACGACCAGTTCGAGGGCTACAGCCTCGACCTCATCGCCGCCATCGCGCGCATCCTCAACATGACCTTCGAGTTCCGCCTCGTGCCCGACTCGGAGTACGGCTCCTTCAACCCCAAGACGCAGAAGTGGACCGGCCTGCTCGGCGAGCTGCTCGAGAGGGTGAGGCGCGCCGACGAGCCACTTTGCGCGCTCTGACACTGAAAGGGGGCAGTGCCTCGCCTCTCCTCTCCTCTCCTCATTAATGATCTTCTTTATCCTCCTCCTCCTCCTTTTCATCTCTTCTTCTTCCTCCTCCTCATTGTTGTTTTCTTCTTCCCTCTCCTCCTCAGTGTTTTCTTCTTCCGCCCCCTCATTTTTTTCTTCCTCCTTCTCATGTTCTTCTAATTTTCTTTTTCTTCCTCCTCATGTTCTTCGACTTCCTCCCTTCATTCTCCTTGCCTTCCTCCTCCTCATGTTCTTCATCTTCCACTTGTTACGATTTTTTATCTTCTTAATAGTTTTTTCTCTTTTCCTCCCATCTCTTCCCAATCCTCCCCTTCCTGTTCTTACATTTCTTCCTCTTCTCCCTCTTCCTACGCTTTGTCCTCTGTATTTTCCCCTATTTCTCAACGTGTATTTCTTTCCTAAGCATTCTATATCTGTAAGCAAAGTTCAGTCATTGCTCTTGCCGTCACACAAAAATTAATTGTATATTTCTTTGACTTATTAAATTAACGTATTAGATTATTTTTGTGTCATAGTTTGCCTACAAAGCAGCCTTGCCTTCTGTTCAAGGTGAAACGGTTCGTTACTCACAATGCAATATCTGTGATATATTTAATAATCTAGACAGAGTAGGTAAAAAATTTCGTGATTTTCATTGAAATACTCTAGAACATTTAGATGTTTTACTTTTAATACTATAACATTTGATTGTAATAAATATATATCTATAACAAATTTTGGGAGATATACAAGTAAAGTTTCCATATAAATGCATAATAAAAACATAAGGATATGTTTACAGCGGGCAGATCTAGCCATCTGTGATCTGACCATTACGTATGTCCGTGAGGAAGCCGTGGACTTTACTATGCCCTTCATGAATCTAGGTGAGAATTGTGTGTAATATTAGCAATACTAACCCTCACACTTCATATGGCCCTCTATCATGAAAGATGTCCTAATAATTAAAACATTTTTTGTTAAAATTACTTTAACATTGTGCCAACAGCCGTCAGTTAACATACCCAATATAAACTTATGTGCTACACAATGGCACAGACTTTCTCGTGTAAGTATATATTAATATACCTATATTACCTATATCACCACACATACTTGTTTCACTAACATATCACTTTTGTGCAGTGGAACACGCGTCAGGGCGTTGTCTTTCCCGCAGGAATCAGCATCCTGTACAAAAAGGCGGAGAAGGCGGAGACGAACCTCTTCTCGTTCCTGGAACCGTTCTCCATCGACGTGTGGATCTACATGGCGACGGCGTACCTGGGCGTGTCGCTGCTGCTGTTCGTGCTGGCGAGGTAGAGGGCGCAGCGCCCGCCCCCTGTACATACGGGCCCCCGGAGGCAGCGCGCAGCGGCGCCGCGCAGTAGTTAGCACGCAGCAACGCTTCGGTGACGTCAGCGCGGGGCGCGCTCGCCCGCTGCATGTCGCCCCCGCGGCGCCGCACCCGCCCCGCCCACGCCCCGCCCACGCGCCGTGACACGAGTTGGAGGGAGGGAGACTCAAGGGGCGGACCCGCACTGGGTGCTTAGGGAAACACTCAAGTAACTCTCAAATGCGACTTGCAAGCCTGGCTTGTGCCGGGTGTCTAGATGTCTCCGCTGCGTTGTTCCCGTAACGGAACAACCTGATTAGGGAGAGAGAGACTGAAGTGGCGACAATGCGCGAGGCCCTTAAGGAAACACTCAAACCGCTAATTCACTTGCAAGCACGACTTGCATGCCTGATTTGTGTCGATTGGCAAGAAATCGCCGCCGCATTGTTCCCGCAATGAAACAACATGCTTAGGGGGAGAGACACTCAAATGGTAGCACCGCTCGAAGTGCTAAGTACACAGGGCGTGGGACTCCTCATGAGACGCTAGGAAACATAGAAGTGTCCCATTCACCCTGAAGTAACACATGCAAGCCTGGATTGTCGGTTTATCTATAGCCGCCGGAGACTTCTTTCAATGAAAGAACCTATTAGCGGGAGGTTGAATGAAGAGGCAATAGCACTCACGGCACTGGAGCAAAAAGACAGAAGCCCCAACCACTCTCAATCAAGGCATGCAAAACTGGTTGACTAGTAACAAGTCATTGCAAGCTTTACAAACCTGGTAAAGCCGTTGCCGCCACGTTGTTTCTATAGGGGAACAACCTGTGGGAACAAAGCGGTGGCGAATTATTTACAACCGGGGCAAGCCAGGTGTGCGGGTTTCCCTTGAAAGTGGATGGGACCTGGAACGATTTTCTTAAGACGCTAATAAAAGACTGCAAGGGGACGACGAGCCTAGCGGTTAGCAGTGGGGGAGGGTAGATTGCCACCTCCTAGAATCGGAGTTCAAATATCAGCCCATCAACTGGCTGGTCAAACAGGTTCGCGACAGGTTCTTCTCGCGGTTTATTCGTTTCATCTGCCTCTCATATCGCCATCTAATCCATCGCCATTTACGTCATTAATGACACATCCATCAAATTACTCACCAATTTCAAATGTGACAATTCGCTTAGGTACTTCGAAATTTAGTACAAACTCCGTCATATCACATGGTCAAAGTAATCAGTTTTTCCCACTTGACAATTTACACGACGTCAAATCTACAATACTAGTATCTAGCATGGATATGGTCAGCTTTAAGTCCGAAATATGGCTGTTACAAGAATGCAGTTAATTGACACATTAGCCAGACGGTTTGAGTAAAGTTTTAATTTGTGATATAATGATCATTCCCAACTCCATCCTGTTAATGTTGGTATTAGCCACAGGACACTAGCTAAAGTAAGATGATTGTCGGAAAATACGGCGTCTAGTGTCGTTGTAGCGAACGTTTATCCATTGCGGGACATTCATTTTGCGTCTATCTCTACAGTTGTTTTTATTTTTTGTTTTCATTTTATTTCATTTTTCGTTTTCTAGTTTCTTTCTTCCTTTTTGGAGCTCCTTGATCAGCCTAAGGGGTACAGGATAAGCTACTTATACTAGCTTGTGGGAAAATAAGCAGACTTAGCATTCATATTCTTGGCTTCAGACAATTCTGAATGCTTTGGTAAGAGGTTTCCAAGGAAATATCGTTGCTTCTCGTAAATCCATTCATACTTATTTGCGACGAACTGTAGCTCCTGCGACTAAGAGTTATTTCACATACTTATGGAAACCGGCCCGTAAGCGGGAAGGAAGACAGTTTTGCATTTTTCTGAACGACTAGCAATGAAATCTGTGCGGTTAGAGTAACTACAGGTATTAGTGCAAATTAGAAAAGTTTCTGCGTACCATATCCGTCAATTTTGAATTAATGCTGACAAATGAATTTTTAATAATAGTTTCACTAAATCACTCTTCTTGAATCAAGTGCCTTGGATTGCTTTATAAAGGAAAAAATGATGTATTTATTTACGAAATCATTATCAAGTTTTATAACTTTCCAACCATGTACATAAAAAACAAATTCCATTTTAAGTAAGTAGTCTCTTGCTCACACCACTCATCTGGAATTCTGCCAACCTGCGATTACGATGTGAAGTGATGATAGCTGGACTGAGTGAGGTGGCTCAGGACATCAACTGATGTCACTGTAGTGCCTCTGACCGGGAAGTTCTAGGTTCGAGTCCCGACGGTAGCAAGATTTTCGACACTAGCTACATAAATAAATCGAATTCAGCCGTTGGCTGGTGGAGAATTCTCAGTGACCGGCTGCTCTGATCGGTAGTTTTCTGTGGATTCTCCGAGTAAACTAGGCGAATGCCGGAGCAGCGCCCTAACAAACGAAACATGGACCGCGCACGATCTTTACTTCCCCTTCCTTGCCCTACCCTCTCCTCTCACACACATATATTCACTACACTACCACACATGCCGAGAGACCGGTCGGGAGCTTAGAGCTTGTCCCGGCTGAAGCGGTGCCTCGCTGGTGAGAGATATTGGTCCGCGCTGGTTGGGGAAAACCCCGTAGCCATGGATAGGTCGGCGTAGGATTTCGCCATACAGCGGGGCAAGATCATCGCCACCTCCCGACGAAAAAGTGCACTACACTTACGGGAATAAGAACCTTATCAGTTGACGCACCCAGAATCACTAATCAATAAATCAATCAATGCACATCCATACCTTAGCCGAACAGCGAGCTCCTGCTCGCCCAATCACGAGCAACTGGTATGCTCCCGAGCGAACGTTCGCTTCTTTTTGATGCGTCCAAAAGACCGACTCGCGGTGGGCAGGGCTAGCAGCGAATGTTTGTCGCTCCGCAAATACCAAACAACCCATCCGAGTTGTACTCGACGAGCGGTTGCTACTACTCACCAAATACAGAATGTGTGGGGCCGCCTTAATACGAGATACAAATTATTCGTTTTAATGGAAATCAAAAATTATTGAGTCTAAAAGTTAGTTATTAAAATGCGCGATTTTTATCCAGCTGAAAGAAAAGCAGTTTTTGTAACCCTATTATTATATAACTTTGTCCGATGTATCCATCTTTCCATGTAGGAAAGAACAGCGTAATATTTGTGGTACCATTCGAAATTAATATATGTTAAAAAAATGTATTTCTCATAAGCATACATAAGCTGAGAACTTTTAAGTTATTAAGGATTTTCCTGTCGGAACCAGTTGCCATTCATCTTTCACTTGGATTTTCCATAAGCCATAGACAAAACAAGGTGCTAACGCACTTGTGATCTCCTCAGATTTCTGCGGAGAAAACGATGTTCTTCGTGTCATAACCCACTCCCAAAATACAAGGGACACATATACCAGTGCATCACTCTACATGTAACCCTTCCATCAGAGGTAATAAGTACATGTATCCTCTAACTTCCTGACCATCCAGATAGGCAGCTTGTATTAGCTTTGTATTATTACTTCAATTAAAGCCAAAAGATTTCAATGACTTCATGTGTATGACATAAAAATATTAATGTAATAATTATTCGTATTAATGTAATTAATAAATTGAATATAAATATTTTATTTTTTCAATTAGTACTCAATATTGATGCATGTAAAAAGCGATCGACAAAAAAAACTCACAAATATTAAATGATTTGAAAGTCCATACCTTACTGGCGGTAATGTTTTGATCCTGTGTCAGAAATGACGCATATGAAATGGAATGATGCAAAAACTTGCATTCAACGAATGCAAATGTAGGGCATAGCAATGCAAATAAGCAGGTTGCTGTCTGCACGCATACGCGCTTCTGTAAGTAGCTCCATTTAGAATTTTTTGACATGAAGTCATACATACGTTTCCGTTACAATGACATTCAAACCTTCGGCATTTTTATAGTAACTATTTACTTGCAGGAGTTACTCCACGCGGACAACCATTATGACCGAACAAAACACTATTTACACACCGCCCAATTGAAGGGCTCAGACTACCGATCATTGCGAACACATTAATTCCTAGACATTCTACGCACCGCCCAATTGAAAGGATATTCTACCGATCATTGTCAATTTGGTAATTCCACATACCATCCAATTGAAAGAACTATGAATCGAAGGGAACTGTAAGTTACTCTACACACCGTCAAAATCAAAGGATATAGTCTACGTACTGCCCATTGACAACTCAATGTTTCAAATCCATTCTACACACCACCGAAGAGAATTGATTGACTAATTGATGTTTCCAGCCACGTCCACTGCTACGGTTATTAATCTCGTTAGTGAAATGAATATTTCATCCTTGGAGTGGATTCCTTCCCCGCTGGATGGCCAGATCCGGTGCCGACCTTCACGTCTTACGTGTTTTCCCCTCCAGGTTTCTCTCCAGCATGGCACTGTGTAAATCGGAACAAGCTGTAAACTCTAGGCTTGGCTCCCGATACGTGTGGTAGTGTAGTCCATGTAAGTGTATTTACTACCATTCAAAGTAGCCGGCCGCTGAATTCGACTTGGCTCTGTAGCCATTAACGAAAATCCGCCACCGTCGGAAATCGAACCCTAGGATCTCTCAGTCGGAGTCGCCGCAGAGCCATCGGCAGTGCTGGTTCTGAGCTGCACTCATCCGGCGCCGAGCCGAAGGGGCTACGCTCTTCGGGCCATTGCCAGCTCATTAATTCCAAGTCCGTTCGGTGCGTCTGATTGCACCTTACCGCCAGCGTCGCCACCGCCGTCGCCCCCAACTCAAGGTCGAGCAGGCGATCTCCGAGATGACCCGGAACGGGAACCGGTCCCGGCGAAGAGAGCGACGTTAATTTGTGGCGCCATTAATTGGCTGGGCGTCTGGCCCAACGCCCCCCGTGGTGTCCCTATCCTGTTGCGGAACGACCGCGCTCGGCGCGAGGGCGACGCCGCCGCGAAGAGAGACGCAGGCAGTGAGCAGAGCGCGCGAAACACCCTAGGCGATTGACACAATAGAGAGAAATATATTTTCCCTTCGGACCTTCGGTTTCCTTCGGTCATAAGGCGAATGTTCGGATGGTATAAAAATACCACGATCACCTCCCACCATCCTCATCCCAGTCCTTTCACTCTTCATTTTCATATCACTTCATTCAGCATTCCCTGCCAAAGACCCTTGCTCTTAATGGGATCTTAGTTGGCTAATAATTTTTCGCAAAAATTAATAATTTGAGCAGTTACATACCGCAATACTAAGAGTAACCATTTTAAAAAAGAATCATTAGAGCAATATGGCAATAACCCTGTCTATATCATTTCTCTGGAGAAACTCTAAACAATTCATTTTCAAAATGATTTGCCATATTTCTCTAATGCCATGTTGCAATAAAATATTACACATTTACTGAACGAATAATTTAATCATATCAAGTTTATTGGTATTATTGGCGGGATAAGAAATTATTTTAACTCACAAAATTACCACAAAACTGTGTACTTTCTTCGAACTTAAGCAAATATTCTTAAAATAACACTCGTATTAATATTAATAATATTGTACAAAGATTGGTTATTACACAAAAATTTCGTTTGCTTTGTGGCGGTTTTGAAAGAATAAACAAATGCTACGTAATATTTCTATAGAAACGTCAAACATGACTACTAATCAAAAACGAAAGCATTCGCAAGATTTGAACGATGTAAAGACACAAGTAAAGTATGGGTGGTATACATCTACAACATGAAACCGACGTTTATGCTTTTCTCCATGACATCGATAGTCCGTCAAACATTTGCCACACACTAAAGTTCATAAATCTCTCTCATAAATCTAAATAAAACTAGTTCCATCTTTTATTTCAAACTACCCTCCTCGCAAAGCTCAGATATTATTAGTCAATAAGTGGGCTAAACTAAATGAAGCACTCTTAACGGATCCTGTTAAATAAGATATGACCCGGACAATATGACCCGGTTCAATTCGATTCTCTGTGGGCAAAATGCAGCGGCGGGCAGGCTTCGCGCTGACCCATGCACCTTAGACTGGGGCGGTGCACCGCATCAGAGTAGGTTAGAAGTAGATCACGCATAACAGAATAATGTAGTAGGTAGCAGCCAAATTGGTGTTAAAATGCGCTGCTTATTGTATCGTAGACAAGTGTGCTGCGTGCTCACCGCACGCTCTCTGAATTATAGTGTAACTTTAATAACTGTAATGATAATGTAACGTAAAAACTAAGTAGCCAGAGTGCAAAGTAACGTCGAGATATTTCAGTAACCTTGTGGTAGTTCTAGATGTAGAGACGTCGTAGAAGGCCCGTAGAAGCGTAGCGTAGCGCGCCTCTTGCAGAAGCAACCCCCACGAATGGGACAGCGGGCATCCATGCGACAAAGACCCCGAAGAACTGGAGAACAACTTCAACATGGTCAACTGCCTCTGGTTCTCCCTAGGCTCCCTTATGGGCCAAGGCTGCGACATACTGCCCAGGTAAGTAGCGCGATTCTCTTCGACCGACTTGTCTCTTTTCTGTCTCTGTCTTTCTGGCTCTTTCCTCTTCCTGTCTCTTTTTTCCAATCACTTAGATTCTCTTGATCTATCTTCCTCTGTTCCTGTTTGTCTTTTCTTATGTTTAATGTCCTTTTTCCGTATCAACTGTCTACTGCTCCGTGATTCTCTACTATTATTTCTAACTTTCAGTAACCACCTACAAAAATCTTCTGATAAAGAAATACGGCATTTTTTTATATATTCAACACAAAAATATGGAACATTCAGAATTTTTTAAAATAAATTAAAATATTCTAAAATGATTTTTGCTATTTACATTTGCAATAGAAAAACTCGTGGCTTTTTACTCAACCGGAAAAATTATATCAATATTGAACACTCTAGGTGCTTTTAAAAAAATAACCAGTAAAAAACTTAATACAAGCGCAACAAGGCGGACGAGAACGTCTTTGTCACCGTCGCCCTCTTCAGAAATTCTCCAGCGCGGCTTGAGAACCCCCGCGGGGGACTTGGCGGCTCGCTTCCAAGAACTGTCAAATTCCAATTCCGGGAAAATAAGGTTTACAGAGCTACGGCCGTTGTAGCGAATTCGGTGCCGCACAGACAGACGAGTCGCCTATGAAGCGACCCGCCGCCCGTCCGGTCTCCCACAAGTCCCGCC